TATCTAGCTTGACCAATCAGTTGCGAAAACTGAAACCAAACGAGTCTTTGTCAACGGCGTTTTCCCGTGTCTCAGTCAATTTGTTTGTGACGGCTCCTTGCGATAATTTTCTTTGTTCTGATCGGCCGTCAGTAGTTGCTTTGGTTTTGGTTTAACGGGTATTAGATGATATTAACTTTCATATTTTTCTATCGAGTGTGAAATATAATCAGGGATTGGGTTGGTTTTCTTCCTACGCTCAATGATTGGTCCAGAAAACTCGCGCGACTCTCTCAACCAATCAGCAAAACAAAACGAAATCGCAACTTGTCTAGTTGAAAATTGCTCAAACATGGCTCTTTGTGTATTTTCTTCAAGTGGATCTTTAAAGAAATGACGACCACGCGTCGAACAAACCATAGTGCATTCCCACCCGAGGAATTCTCTGTCACATAATACTTTAAGGTGATTCCTCAGTGTTGCACTAAGCGTTCTGTACTTTGCATAAAAATCCCGTAGTCAGGCGAATAAGGCCTCGCGCATTCCGAGAACACGGTATTGTTTTTCAATAAATGGACCAAGTAAAGATGTAAGATGGTTTTTACGATAATGGCTTCTTTTTTTTTTTTTTTTTTTTTATTTTTTTAATTTTTCTTCGGTCTTTGTCATAATTTTGGTGTACAATTTATACCCTTTTAATTGGAAAAATAAAAAAAAATTTATCGAGGGGAAAGTGTGCACAACACCTGTTACTTGTGGATGCAAATTATTATCTTTAAAACGACGACTCAAGGAACATTTCGCAAGTCGGTGTCGTTAAAAATTGCGTGATTTTTCCACAAATTATATAACAAATTGTTCCATTCACTCGAGACTTTCTACCCATCTTTTTTTTTTCAAGAGTGGCTTTAAAACCTTTGTTTCCAACTACCTCAAATTGTACCGTGAACCAATGAAATGACGCGCGTGATTAGTGCCAAGTTTTACCACTTTAACCCACGTTTACAAGTCAATCATGTTCTATAAAAACCAACTAGGGTAATTAACCCACGTCTTGTTAACCATGCCCAAGTCTTACCTTATATTACCACGTTAATCCACATCTTCCCTTACATAACCATGTTCTACCACATTAATCCACTTGTACCCTAAGCAAGGTATGTTTCACCCCGTTAACTCACATCTCCCCTAAGTTAACCATGTCCTACCTCGTTAACCCACATCTACACTAAGTTAGCCATGTTCCACCACGTTTACCCACATCTACCCTTAATTAACCAGTTCTACCGCGTTCACTCATATCTACTTCATCCATGCAATTCCTTTAGACTTATTCCTATGGTCTTCACCCTCTAACAGTCCGTTGCATCTCCCTTGTCACGGTAAGATTGCTCAGTTATCGTCAAGTACTTTAGAAATTCTTAAAAGTAATTATCTGCTACGAGTTTCATTAGTTTCAGGGCCGTAGCCAGACCTCAGAACAAGACGAGGCAAGTTTCGAGCGCCGAAGGCGCGAGCCGCTAGGGGGGATCTGGGGGCATTCCCCCCCGCCCCCAAGAAAATTTTGAAATTTAGAGGCTCAGAAATGCTAGTTTAAGCATTTCCCATGTCATTTTTCTTCAGAAAAGTCAATCTTGGGCCAAAATCAAGACGAGGCAATTGCCTCGTCTTGCCTCATGCTAGCTACGACCCTGAGTTTTAGGTTATTTGGGATTTCATTAAATCATCGGCTCGTTCGTCGTTCATCGAGAACAGCTTCCCAGATAGCTGTCAAGTTGGCTCACATGGAAAAATGGAGAGATTTAGGATGCGCCCATCTCGCTTTAGACCAACCTGATTGGTGCACAGTTCTATTTATTTTACTCTACGGTCTCTGTAAAGGTGATATAGAATACATAGTTTCATTTGCTTTTGGAAGAGGTACTAGTTCCCATACAACAAATCAACCCTCCACGCTTTTATAAGCAGATTTAGACGATTTATTGGGTTTATTTAGATATTGTATTCATCATTGATTAGTTAAATAGCGGCGTACGTTCACTTCCGTTACAATCTTAATAATTCTCCATTCGCACCAATTAAACTTGTTTAAAATTTAAAAATTGGAGGAAGAAGCCTGAAACTAAAGCTTCAACAGAAAATTTTAATAACCAGCCCTTATAAAACGATTTTTATTCAACAACATTTGAACATGATTAAACTTTGCTGTAAGCAGTGTTTTTAACAGGATACCTAAACGTCCGTACACCCATGATAACGAATGATAGTAAAGAGTTCACCCCTCACTTCTACCTTGGAATAGATGTGTGAACGTGGTAGACCATGCCTAACTTAGGATAGAAGTTGATCAAAGTAATAAAACGTGGCTAACTCGGGATAAATGGAAGTTAACGCGGTAGACCTTGGTTAACTCAGGATAGATAGGGGTTAACGTGATAAAACATGGTTAGGTGTGGATGAAAGTGTTAGAACATGTTCTACCTACGATAAAGGTGATAAACGTGGTAGAACATGGTTGGTATCATTATCCCCATCAGTTGGTAGATGGGGATAAATGTGTTATAACATGCTTAGCTAAGGGGAAATGTGGGTTAATATGGTAAAACATGGTTAACTGTAGTGTTACCGTGAAAAAATATTATTAATGATTGACAATGATCACAAACAATGTAATTGACACTTTTAATCGTTTCATATATCAAGTTCATTAGCTTTCAGTTCAGTTCAGTTCTCACACGTGTTTGCTAACCAGTTTTATAGAAGTTACACCGAATGATCAATTTAACGGGAAACCGGCGACAGAAGTAAGTTTCAATTAGTTTAGCTTGTACTGTCGGTTTATTATCCACTTTTATAATCGGTGTTGTAAATATTCAAATGTTTCATAATTACATTGCTTAATTGTATGTTTCAGATCGAATAATTCCTTCAAATAAACTTGTTGATTATACGATTGATGGTTTCCCGGCTTTTTGTGTCAATTATCCAACAGTCCAGGTAGATGTGGGTTAACATGGTAGAACATGGTTTACTAAGGGTAGATTGGGGTAAGTGTAGTAGAACGTGGTTAACTTAGGGTCGATGGGGTTTAATATGGTAGAACATTGTTAACTTAGGGTAAATGGGGCTAAAAGTGGTAGAACATGGTTTAGGGTAGATAGGGATTAATGTGGTATAACAATGTTAACTAAGGGTTGATGGGGGTTACGTGGTATAACATTTTTAACTCAGGGTAGATGTAGGTAAACGTGGAAGAACATTAACTTATGGGAGATGTGGGTTAATATGATAAAACATAGTTAACTAAGGGTAGGTACCGGTTGATGTGGTAGAACATGGCAAACCAAGGGTACCTTGGGGTTAACGTCGAAGAACAATGCCAAATGGGACATATTGTGAGCCATACATGAATTGTATAATAGTTAGTATTATTATGGGAGGTGTTAGTATTGAGACGTCCTTTTGGACAAGTTACTACATCGCGGGCGACGAGCCGAGGAAGAAAAAAGTCCGCATTACGAGTGGTCAGCTGTGAAATAGTTTTAAACAAATCATTTGTAGTTCCAGTAAATATTCGTGTTATAAATCCCAAAATGTTAACAGTATACTTCGCTAAATAAAAAGTTAAGAAATTTTTTAATTGTTGAATGTACATTTATTTTTTACAACTGTAATAAACAATGGAGGCATCTGGAAAGGCATTTGCAGTGCATTTCTTAAATAAAGGAAAAAAATATAATTTGAAAGGCAGAGGCAAGGTAAGGTCTCTTGAACGAGTGGTCTTGATTAAAAATATTTGAATCACCGATGCGTTTCCCGAGACCATTCCCAAGTATTTAAAAATTGTTACAGTCAAAGCTTTTGGAAAATTGCTTAACTTTTAAATTAGCGAGGTATGACTTCGTGACAGTTCGGCCCTTCAACACGATTGTTTTCTGTAACTACAAATGATCTGTTTCTATATGAAGTATTAAAGTTGTTTCACCGCTGACCACTCACGTTTCGAACTATTTTTCTTTCCCGATTAGTAGAATCGAAGAGTACTCTCTCAGTAACAAAGATATGAGTAGTAATCAAGCCGTGATCAGTGCATTCAAAAGCGATGCAGTATGGATCCAGCAATTAAAGGACCCTTCCCTCCCCCGATACTTGTTTGGATTGTATAAGGCTTACATGCAAAGAAATACGCGAGGAGCGGCGAAAAATGATACCAGTTTTAGTAGTTTGTATTGCCTGTCTATTGAGATATCCATTCATTCATTCAATTCAGTAGCAATCTTTGGGGTGCTGATGCTCGTCACGTGCGGACACTTTTCCTGATCATTATCAAGGTATGAAATCAGCTTAGAAACTAGAAAAAGAATCGCAACTTTCCTCAGCTAGTCAACCCAGTTTGATTTTTATTCTTAATTTCTTCAATTGGATAAAATGTAAAGAAGTTACTATGACTGTTGACATTTTTATACACCAGTTTATCTTTTGGAATGTTATTGTAAAGCAAGCCACAGATGTGTGGGTCCTTAACAAAACAATCCACATTGATGATACCGAGAGTGTTTTGACCGGAATAATAGGTATATTTCTCAGAACTTACAGGTGTAATCTATGCAAAGTTACATGTTTAGTAAAAAGAGGCATAAGTTGTTCTCTCTGCACAATATTACATCCATGCATCCACTGCCACCAGAAAAATCTCTACTCTGAATAATTTCTGATATCTTGCATTCATAAACAATTTGCATGATAAAATAATCCATATGAATGTTGCCACATGTAGTGTACTTGTGATATATAATATGTAGCACAGATGAGTAGTTCCTGTCATACATATATATATATATATATATACCACACATGAGTAGTCAAATAATTAAAAGGGACGTACACCCTTTGGTTCTTTGTACAAGGAATCTTAACATAACATAAACTTGTACTTAAAATAGTAACTGCAACAAAATAATTGCATGTGTTCTTATTCTTGTGATGTTGTAGCCATTGATGACTGGGAAGCTCTACAGAATTTTATTTTGGCTGAAAAAATCTGCTGGCTAATACTCTACTTGTCTTATTTGGAGCCCCACAGTCTGCCAAAACAACGGCACTAAAAGCTACTCTTTCAGTTGTTGGCAAAACAGATATTGTACAAGGTATGTGGTGCCCTATTTTTTCTTTAATACTGCATAGGTCCCCTTGGGAAAGTTTTATCAATGAGCAGGCAAAGGAGAAGTCTCAGATTACTGTTTTATAGTCAGCATGGATGAGTTATTGAGTGCTAACAGGGTGCAAAGAAATTCAGTTTTACAGCTTGCCCTTTGGGAAAGCTGAAAGTCATTTTTATTAGCCCGCAAAAATTTTTTTGCAAGCAGAAAAAAAAGAGCTGCTTTGCTCTTAGTGCTGCCACACTATAGAATTTTTGCTAGGTCCACCGCAACACATGAATGATTAACATGCATTTTAGACATTTTAGAATTTAGAAACACGTTTTTTAAGAAAAAAAAAACTGCATTGAAATGGTGAAACCAAAGTTCTCGATGGACACACTTAAAAACAACATCAACAACGCGGTTCATCTTGTTACAAGTAACCAAAGGTTTTAGGTTTCAAAAGAACAAAAATGTTTGTTTCATTTCTGGCAACTTTTCATCTGAAAGATTTTTGTGAAAAGTGAAAACAGTACAATGTGGTCTATATAGTTTAACCAAAAAACACTTACAGTATTGGTGTTTAGAAGTGTTTGGAACACACTAAAACCATAATAAATTTCTCACTGGAGTTTAGGATCAAAACCTTTTGTTTACATTCCTCACAAATGATTATGAAGCAAAATTTAGACAAATAGCTTTCTCTGAATTAGTAAGAATTAGTCACGGGCAACATTTACCTCCAAAGCTTTTTTCAATATCTGCTTTTACTTTATGCATGGGATCTCAATATGTCTCATCTGACATGTAATGTGATACTTTGTCTTGTTAATGCAGATTTCACTTTGTTGGAGCGACTTTCAGTCCGCATGAATTTTATTAGGAATTTAAAACACTTGTCTTATAGTACTTCTGTAATTTAAATCTCTGAAAATTCACTAGCCCGATTGCAAAATCCACTAGCCCTGGGTTATCAGACATGACTTTCTTTGCACACTGGCTAATATGCAGTATGTGATTTCATAGAAAAAACATTGCTGACCAAACTAAACCACAGACCAAAATTACAAGTTCCATGGTTATGTATATGCATGCAGTGCCATTTGAGTGAATGATGACATTACATTAGATAGTTTGCCATGTTTACCATACTAGACTGTAAGAATTTATAAGAGGAGTACTTTTCATTAATCTCAATTGAATAATTGTTTGTCAAGGAATGACTTTCAAGGCAATAATGGATGCTGTCTGCAAGACACCCATTCCATTTGGCTGAGATTATTGCAAATTTTACAGACCGTCCGGTGGAGATGGCAGATGATCAAGAGCTAGTCAAAGATCAGAGGGCCTTGGTGTCCTACTCCCTCCTGGTTTTTGCATTCAGAATGGTGAGTATACAAATATAAACTGGGTAACAAAGAAAGTTGGTTGCATTGGGATGGAAGCCATTGGTTCTACATCCCGACACTTCAGCTCTGATATTTAGTGATTGGATTAATCCATCTGAAAGAGAGCAAAATTAATAAGTGCATGGATGGGAAGTTATGTAAATAAAAATAACTGAAAAATAACAAGTCAGAACAAAATCTTGCATTAATCCCATTTAAATCATGACTGTAATTTAATTATGTCTCACTTATGATGCTGTCTCTTCAATTAAATGCAGATTCTTGAGAAGGTAGGGTTGCCAAAGCTCTTCATCCTTCTAGAGGAAAAAATTTAAAAAGTTGTACTGCCAAGTTATGTGGGAGCATCCCATGTCACTGCAACATCTGTTCAGTTGCCAAAGGAAGTTTGCAGTGACACCAACAAAGCGTTGATGAATTCCTTTGCATCAATTACTGCTTTCAATGTTCAAAATGTAAGTATTGATAATAGTGTTATGATCAGTTGTTACTAGAAGCTACACACATGCATATGTATATATATATATATAGTGTGTGCAGTTTTTTTTCTTGATATTGTAAAATTTGGCCTGCAATAATTATTATTTTGGTTTCCTTTTCAGGTGGTTCCCTTTGTCAATAATAGAATAAAGCCCTCTCAATGAAGCTGTGGGGAAGCTGTAGCTTTTAATGTGCCTTGCTTAGCTCAGCACATTAAGGTTACTGGTATCAACCCAGTGTTAACCAATGCCACTATATAGCATTTCATTACCTCTAACGTTATTGGTTGTATGGGGAAGTCAAATAAGGTTTGGAGCTGAACAACAAGCTTGACATCTGCCTACACAAGTGAGTGTTACCTTGATGCTGAAATTTTGGGTGGACTTGATAAAGGTAAAAATATAAAATTTAGACAATAATGCTGCAAAAAACTGATATGTTCTTTAGAAAGAAATTTTAACTTGACTTTGCCCATGCCATTTTTATATAATGTGATGTTTATAAAAGTGAGCATAAGTAGGAGAACCTAGAGTCCATAAAAAGTCTAGCATTCTTACAAATTACAAATATATACACATGTTTTCAAAAACATTGCAATTTGAAAATATTTAGATATACCTTTCCTGTTTTAATCAAAAAAGTGATAGACGATGCATGTATATTTCAAATCAAAGGAACTATACTCGAGGAACTTGTAAGTGAACTGCCCTTGTCAGCAACTGTTGTTCCTTTTCTTCCTTTTTCACTCATTTGAAGAGAATTGTGTTGGTTTGAAGGCCTGTTTGAACCAGACTATACACCATAACACATACAAAAGTATACAAGGCTTCTCTGTTAATTCTGTTTTGCAAATGATTATTGTTTTACTTTCTTGTTTTCAGCTTTTTCATCACTGACTACCAGTACCACATCTAGTACGTAATAATGAATTGAATTAATTCATTTAAGTACAAGTGCTTTACCATGAAAACAATCAGAATGGTGGTTTTCATGGTAAAGACATCCTGCTCCAAAGGCCTACTGTTTCAGCCTGCTGGAATTATTGAGCCACTCCATTGTTCAAGGTGGTCCCAGTTTTAGTGCTTTACATCCAGCAATCTACTTCTACTTAGCAGATGCAAACCTTCTGTATGTACTCTCTCAACTAAGAAGACCAGATTTCCTCCTCAATGCAGGTACTTTAGTGTACTTACAGATTTTGTTACATTTATGCTCACAAGAACATTGGAATGTACTTAATTTTGTACACTTTGTATAGGGAAGAAACAGGTTCATAGAGAGGGGGTTTATTCAAAAAATCATACTTCCAAACAAGGAGCTTGTTAGATACAGGGCTTACAGATGGACTACTATTTTTAGAGGGGAGGGTTGGGCAATTACTGTAAAAAAATTCCTGCACAACCTGACCCCAAGAAATTATTTCTAGCTCAGAAAAAAATTGCCCACCCTCCTAATGGTCATTCCCTTAATGGAGTTTTGACATAAACAGAATCAAAGGGTAAGTGAAATATTCCTGTCCCAATCCATATGGCATATAAAGTGACAATGGAACATTTCTGATAGGTTTTTTGATTTCTTCTTTGTAATTGATGAAACTTCACAATCATCCTTCCTCTGAGTCCTTCTGGTCAGTGATAAATACTTCTCACTGGCCAATAACCAAGAAGATAACAGTT